ATTGTTTCAAACCAGATGTATGCAGTTCTTTATTGAAGTCTGTGATCAAATCATACCATGATTTCCTATTAAAAATAATCCTTTACAGGATTTAGGGGTTTTTTCTCCGGAAAATGTCAAAAAAAGTATACTATCGTCAATAGTACCAATATGTAGACAATTTTCTAATTTATTAGACAGCAAAAGTTATCAAAATATTGTCACGGAATGGCGTTTGCTTCGGAATGCGAAAAAAATTGCGTCGTTTAGTGACACCACTGAAGAGTTTTGGACAAGTGTTAGCAGCATGAAATATGTCGCATACTGTCAGAAATTCTCTGTTTTATCAGAGGTCGAACATGTCTGAAGAAAATGACTATCGAGAATACAAGGAAAATTTAACAATCTTCAGATTTCAATCACTAATACAAATGACATAGTATATCAAATCATAAGAGAATAGAACTGTGTCACAAGAAATGTTGGGAAAATTACTAATACAGCTTGTAGCTTATGGTTATATTGTTTTGAAAAAGGGCATTCTTAATTCCTCCTTCATTTTTAACGTGGTAGGAAAAACGTCAACTATCAAATAGCATTCCAAAAGATTTCTGAATAAATTGTATTATTATTAATGCATTTATATATTTTTTTATTCACATTTTTCTTATCAATAGATTACAAACAAACACAAAGTATGCCTGCCTTTTAGGCTGAACGCAATAGCAGTCCTTTGCCGTGCTGATCGGAAAATTACCTTTTGTTCCGAGACACACACGGTGTTCAATTTGGATCTGGGATCCGGGAAGAACGGCTCTGCTGCCGCTAAGTACCAGCTTCAAAACTGTCGTAAGAAAATAACTAGCTACACCGAGGAGATTTGCAAGATTACGGCTAGCGACACTGCGAGCTGATAAGCAGCGTCTCTCCAAACGGAACACGGAGGTAAGGAATAATATGCGAGAGTTGTTATCTTTACAGGGGAAAATAAATGACAAAGTCAAACCTCAGAAGCCTCCCACGCTGGTGGATGCTTTTGCCCACATGGAAAAGGCAACTGATGAACCCCTTAGAGGGGGGGGGGGGGAAGGGGGAAGGGGGAAGGTGCATGCCCTTGTGGATCCATTCGAGAACCTCAGGCATTCTTCACCAAATCACGATAGATGTTCTAAATCGGGATCGTAGCGTTGCACTATAGGCTGACATAGTCGCCAAGCGACTACAGCGTTTAAATAAAGATTTCAAAAAAAGTAGAGCAACTACTTCTAGAAATAGAAATTAAAGTGAAGACTGAGTTCTATTTGAATAAAAAAAATATCAGTAGACTATCTGAACTTAAACTATTGAAATATAATGCAGACATACGTTGTTGGCCTGAGTTCTGAAACAGATTTCTTTCCAATGTTCATAATAAAATAATGAAGATGTAAAAGTGTGTTCCAACACTCAAGGACCATCAATCTAGAGAAATTACCTGAAGAAATCAAACAGGAATTGAAATATGATAATGCATGGTGATGAGGACATAGCATCCGCAACTTTATTAGCTTCGACGACTGATCGAGAGGCCACGGGGAAAGGTAGTGACATCGAATGTCTAGACATCAAACGACGGTGCGGTGCACCAGCACACGAAATTGGAGACTGTCAACTATCAAATCGCATTCCAAAAGTTTTCTGAATACAATATATTATTATTATATATACATTTCTATTGTTTTTTTATTCACATTTTTCTTATCAATACTACTGTACTGAACGCAATAGCAGTACTTTGATCTGCTGATCGGAAAATTACCTAATGTTCCGAGATTGTAAGGAACAATATGAGAGAGACAATGCTTTTTTCCACTTGGATTTGGCAACTGAGGAACCCCTTAGGGGAAAGGAAAAAAAGGCGCCTGACCTTGTGGACCCATTGGAGAACTTCGGGCATTCTTCATCAAAAACCAAGATAGATGTGGTTCTAAATCGGAAGCGTATGTTGGAAAAATAGGCTTTAGTACATACCTATCTTGCTGTAAAGTATAATTGATTACAATTATGATCGCATCTTCTCTAATGCTCAGGAGACAGAATAGAACATCTTTAAGATGGTAGTTTTCACAGCAGAGTAATGTTGCTGCGAAAGTTTCATTGTTCGCAATACAGTCACGCAATAATGAATGCTTACATCGAAAGCGTCATGTTGCTTGCTCACGAATAAGTGAATATTGGCTGTATTATACAGGGTGTAAAAAAACCTTTAACGAAGTCGAAGGCCACGTATTTTCCACATCATGACGATATTTTTTTCTTCTGGACCATACCTGGGAAATTTATTGTTATGGAGATATTGAAAGTCAGTCACAATTTTTTTTTTTCAAGATTTATACATTAATATTTTCAAAACGTTATTTAGAAACTTTTTTATCGACGAACTTACACACAGGCACATTATTTGCGTAGCCCAACAGTAGCGCGCCGCGCTATACATTGCGTACTGGATTTATATTTTTTATTTTTTTACTTAAAAATACAAATGATTCCCACGTATAATATTTTGTAATATTACGTCTTTGGGTATGCATAATGCGTAGTTTTAGTCTTTGTCATAGGTTTCTTTACAGCCTGTAGAAGAGACTAAGATGGCAATACTTCTAGTGGATTGCCAGCCGACTTTGACTCTTTCGTGCCTAGCCTCGAATCAGTGAATATCTGCAACAGCTTGAGCAGAGAGCTTATCAGAACTCATCTGCTTCAGGATGAGCATAGGCGAATAACGTATGACCTAAGTAGCGAATATTGATCTGCAGCTCTGCTATGTAAGCTAGCCGTCAATATCCCAATAAGAGTGGACACGTGAAAAGTAAATTCTATAAATTATGAAGCACTCGTTGCAATTTCTCCAATCATTCCGGTGCCACAGTCATACGACAATGATAACTCGGTGCTTTGCTTAAAAATGATAGGATATGGCGACGTTTCTTACTCCTCGTTTTCACCAAGAAACAAGTCATAAACTAGTTTTGTGTAAAACTTGTAAAATACTTATTGCGGCTGTTTAAAACATTTTTTCGTTTACACTGCATAGACAACTAGTATTTTGGCAAGTATTAATCACTCATTTACTTCACATATTTTGTTTCTCCAACAAGTTTGATACAAGTGTTGTATACTACATGTTTTATACATGTATACAGGCTGTTTCTTCTAGGGTGTCAAGCCAGTGCCAGTTGATAGCGGAGTACCATACCTATCAATTTAACCCCCATGTATGTTCTACGATTTTTCGTAGTTTTCGAGTTAGATTTTTTTCGTTATTTTTTTCGTTCAACGATGTGACAACTTTAAAAAAGTATAACTTCTTTTTGGGTAGATTTTTCTTCGATTTTTTTTTAACAGAATGCTTATTGCTTTTAGTTTTATAAGCAAAATAATTTCCTTCCTAACTTTAACCTAAGATATATTTTTTTTATCGAGACTAAATAAAAATGAATTAAGTAAAACAGAAAAGATTTTCAATTGAAATAAAAAAAAAATAGATGTTTTATAACTTCTGACTAATTTTAAAAACTGCCCGACTACATAAGCTTTCATTAAAATACAAAATAAAGATGTACTAAATGGGGCATTATTTGCTGAAATCTGTTGTTGAAGGTGTTGTATCGGAAATCAAGTAATTTTAATATTTTAGAATTTCGTAGTATCTTTGCATATTTTGGCAATCTTAAGTTTTATTATACATTTTAGTGGTTAAGTGTGTAAGTGTTAAGTGGAGCTCATTCAAAAATAAAAATAATCATTTTATGATAACTAATCACTCGAAACTCCTGTTATCTTCCTCCTCGGGTATTTTTATTTTACGCTTAAAAAAGCAAATGTCTACACGTACGTTGAGGACTCGCGATTGAGCTTGATATTAAGGTTGTTTGTGAGTGATACCATGCCTCGAGATTACGAATTTTCATCGCAAGATTAGGTGCAAATGCATTATTTCTTCGGGTACGCGCGTTGAAACGCTTCACTTGCCGCAAGGATGTTTCGCGATTATTTACAACGCAGAGGAGGACGACAGCCCGGGATTTATTCAGATCATCGAGCAACTTTGCGAGTACATAAGTGCAGTGTGAGAGTAAGTGCATATACCCAAGAAGAAACACCCTGTATGTGTGAACGAAAAATAAATACTTGTATAAACATTGTTAAATACATGTATTATACCTTGGTATAAATGAGGGGTTATAAGGTAAAGAATAGCGTTGTTACTTAGACAGCAGAAAATAATTTATTTTTTTAAACGCTATAAATTGAGATTAATTGTTGAGTTACTTTTTCAGTGCTGGATCTATGCACACAGCACAACAGGCATCAGAATCCATTTTTTATGGTTTTCAGAGTGAGGTGTTACTTTTACTGCTTTAGCAAAGAAAGTGACAGCATGATATTTAATTAAATTGATATAGATATTCGAATGTGGCCGCTTTAGTATTTTAAATTAAACTTTATCAAAGAGCTTAATGTGAGGAGCTTGATTGCTCCCTCGTACTAGTCAAAAAAATAATCAAAATTCTCAAACTTGAAAAAGTTCCACATTGAAAAATGTTCAAACATAAAACTGCTTTGTACCAATTCATCGCCACTATTCTTTCATACTTGCTTTTTCTGCTACTAATTTTATAACTGCGATTACAAACGAATTTCATTTTATTTATATTGAAATCAAACCACCATTAGACAATAAACTAGCGTCCATGTTACATAGTTTCTCTCTACTAATTTTCAAAATAAATAACTATAAATACTTCACGTTTTAACTAGGAACTATTTTCGTAACAACTAGGTACTTTATCAACTTAGATTATATCATGGTATTGCACGAATATAGGTACTACATATTTTTACTTGTCATTATCTCAAATACTTAAAAGCTAAATCGTATTAAAGCACCATGTCCTCTTGTACGATGTAGATAACACTCGGTGAGCTAATATAAATAAAGCTTGTAACTTTTATGAATTATCACTTGCCCAAATGCTTACATCCAAGCACCGGCTCTCAGATTATCCACGATACTTGCTCGCCTCCGATGGCAGACGCGGATGCACGGCTCGAAGGCTAGCCTTCGCCAGGGTCACGAGTCGTGCAACAATCGTTGGTAATGCGGGAATACTTCGTAGGGTGGAACGTGCAGCCCAAATTCCAGCGCTACCAACACAGCAAACTCGAACCTCATGAGATCTTTTCTATTCACTCTAAATGTTGTTTCGATGCGCTGCAAAACGTAACATTTATAAAAAAAAATGTCTCAACGAAGAGCGAAATCCAGGATATTTAAAAAAAAAATAACGATAGTTGATATTCACCTCTATGAGTGCCTTCAACGTTTCGCCTTTGACATCGTTCAGTTTTGCTGACAGAAGCAAACATGCTCCTGCGCATAGTTTCCTGTTGTCTTTATTTATGAGATTTGCGAGAATAAGTTTCTCGAAGTAGACATACGCTTGAGCGACTGATAACAAATCAATGCCACCACCATCGTGTTTCGCTATTTTGCGCATTTCTTTTTTGATGCTGCGTATTCGCAAAAAAAAACATAAGTTATAATACCGTGTACAGTTCAGTGCTTATAACAGGGGGTCATCCATAAAGTACATCACACTAATTTCGTTATTTTTTTACCCCTCCCTCGTCGTTGACACAGTTGGTCACATTTATGAGTTACGTGGACATATTTAATGGATGACCCCCGATCATTGTTAAGAATGATAAAAATTAGTATATAAATAATACCTTCTTAATTTACTGAGTGTTAATTTTATATGCGGGAACTTCTCGCGGAACTTATCATTCAATTCTTTCTTCAAGTCTTGTGGACGGACATAATCAATAATAGAAGTCATGTATGAGGTGAACGTCAACAAAGTTCTATGTTTGCCAGCAATAAGTTCTGGATCATCAAGTACATTCGGGCAGTAATGAAGCTAAAAAATAAACGACAATCCATATAAGTATCTCTCTATGCTTGAAATTCCTCCCACTATATTTTGAAGAATAGTAATGTATGATTACTTACTATTCTTCAAAATATAGTGGAGTGCATTTTCAAACTGCAACAAAATCAGATACGCGCAATGTTGCTAGGTCCGTCAGTGAATTTGGAATTCCAGTCTACCTTACCTTGTAATTTAGCTAAATTGTGGCGTGACCAGTGATTTTTACAAAATTTAAATTACGTTATATGGCTATAAGAACGTGGAACTCAACAACTCACATATTTCTGGGAAAGAAGCGTCCCTTCCTCCCAATCAAATGATTTCACATCTACTGAAGTATGTGGAGGAGATGCAGCCATTGTAGTTCTCTGTGACGACTCGTAGGAGAAACACCTGCACATTAAAGGAATCTAAATAAAAAAATATATTAATTTAAAATTCATTACATGTTGCTAAGTTTGTTACTGTTACATGCAGCTAAAGCATAATCCCCTTTTAAATACATGCAGTTAAAAATATTAGATATTCCCTTCCAACATGCTTAATGAATAAGCAAAAGGAGAAATGAAAATGAAAATATATTTATTGGAACTAATTAAGGTTACATGTATAATTAGGTTCGTTAATAACTATATTAGTTTCTAGAACTGTGTTACAGCTATTAGCGCCCACCTCCAGATACAGAGACGTGTGTTCCATAATACATAAATAAAAATTACAGTTCATATCTTACCATTTACTTAAAGATAAAAATTATGTATTTGTGTGTGTTTGTATATATGAGTGTGTGTGTGTGTGTGTGTGTGTGTCTGTATTTACCTGTGTATCTATCTGTATGTGCATGTGTGTATGTTTATGAGAGTGAGAGTGTCCGATTGTACTAAAATGATAGTTACATGTGATGTGTGTGTGTGAAAATTTAAAACATGTCAAAATATATTTAATGTATCTTTTATTACATAATTTTATGTTAGATCGTTGATGAGATATAAAAGTAGATTTAACTAAACTGATATACTTTTTGACTTAATAATAATTTTTTTGAAATGAAAAATACTCGTTCATGCGACTGTCATATATGAATGGGTATTAAAACTCGAGTCCGATTAGCGATAATAGGTTAACTTGAGTGTTTTAATACCTAAATTATATACAGTTGCATACATTACTTTATCTTCACTCATAGAAACAATTGTAATTAGACAAAGTAGCTGTAACAAAGAAGAATTATGCAAAATTTTTCTGAAATCCCGAAAACAAAACACGATCGGCAGAAAATTGTATGGGAAACCCGGGAAATTAAGTACAAACTAAGAATGGGCGCGCCTCTTGATTTTGTAGATTCAGTCCAATAACATAGCCTATTACATAGTAATTTAATAAATAAAAATAAAAGTGTACTAGGTATAATGATTAAATAGTTATTTTACGATACAGCTACTGTGCGACCAAGGTCTTTATGAATGTAAGTGACAGTTAAAGGGAGGGCGCCACTGTCTACGTAAATGACCGTAACTGGCATACAAAATATGAAGTTTACAAAGACGGCGGCGTTAGTTCCAATAATCGCAACATTCATAAAGATCTTGATCGTATTTTATAATGAGTATCATATTTAATTTTATGTATGTGCGTTTATAATGTACGTCTTTAAAAAACCATCTATAAATTCGTAATTCGAATATTTCGACATGAGTGTAGATAATAAGGTAACTGATACAAATAAGGCCTATGCTGAAATAAGGCCTGTAGCTCAGAAAAGTCTATTAAAATATTTTACATCAAAAATACTTTACACACGCATAGACGACAGTTCTACAACTCGGCAAACTGCGCGAGCGGTCCGCTCGAGCTCATAGCGTTAGTAGTGGCGGTACTTTGTGAAGGACGAGCTTTTCATAGCGCGTTATTAATTTGTCGTAATCTTTAACGAATTTTAATACGTTATTCTTTGAAGTTTTGTTTCATGTAACGTATACGGATCACAATATAACTAATCAAAAAGTTGACTATGACTTAAAATTTAACTTTTTAAAATATGCGAATTAAATACTACTTATAACTTTTATGAAGTACAATGTAAAATATGCGAATTAAATACTACTTATAACTTTTATGAAGTACAATGTACTAAATAAAGCCTACTTTTATAAAAGGCCTAATTTTTATCAAATATATCTATCAAAATACATTCATTAAATTGTATATTGTTAAGAATTTGCTGATTCTTAAAAAAAAAAATTTATATAATTCTTTATCTATTATTAATATGCGACTTCAAATCTGACTAGCAATTAAATTAATAATTTAATAAAATAAATTATAATCTTGTTCAAGGATCCCATGTAAACACTTGATTAAAGGCTCAGAAATACATATTTTAATATAATTTATACTCTAATAACAATATTCCTTTAATTTAAGTACATAGGCTTTGTTAAGTCACTATGTTTTTAAAAGGCCTAAGGCTAAGGTTCCAGAATTAGCTCTGTTTAAGTGATTTCTAATAATAGATTGTAATATGTTTTCTAAATTCCTAAAAATTTATGAACCAAGGAATAATGCCTTGCTTTTATTTATCACCTTCTTCGAATAATTTATCATGATATGAGTGTTTGAAATTAGGTAGGCCTTATTTGTATCACTTACCTTATTACTTAAACAATTTGTTTAAGGTCAGAAGGTCTAAATAGCAAAACGTCTAATAAGCAGAAAGCCAAATTAGAAAAATGTCCATGTATCAAAACGTCCAACTCTCAGATGTTCTGTATAGCAGAATGTCTATTTAGCAAATCGTTATATTCTCAAAAAGTCTGTATAATTAGGCACACAAGTGAAATGAAATGAAATTATAGGTACTTTATTTAAATTGACTTTTTGAAAGCACTATGGAATCGTCTAATATTTTTTCGTACCACCCATTCGGGATATCTAGTAGCTGATGAGAAGAAACTCCTCGGCATTTTACAGAAGTAGCAACATTTACAATTATGCCGCTACCAATACATTTAATAAGATACATTAGTTCAAATGTAATAATTGTCCACTTGCATTTCGATTGCTACTTATACTATAAACATTGCTAACAATCCTGCTACCATTCCTCAAAGCCATTGGCAAGATCGCAAATACAAAAACTTGTCATTTAAAGAAAATAAGTAAAGAAACATCGTAATATTGCTTAATACCAAATACAAAAGACTGCACGGATTTACTTCAAAGGCACGAATATTATTGAAAAGTCGGGTCAACATATAGGCTACATATTATCTCCACGCGTAAAAGTCGCGGGCGGCCGCTAGTGATTAAATACATTAATTGTTTACCCTGCATTTTGATTGCGTGTCATACAGTATAAATAAAAATAGTGTTATATATATTAAGTGTAACTAAACATCTTCAATATCAAGGAAGTAAGGGCAGACTCATCTCCGCTAGCAGCACTCGTTCACGAACATGACGCATGAACCAGCCATCGCTTCGTTCAACGTTCGAACTATATTTTATTAATAAGTTTTATTGTGTGTCAAATGAATATACAGATTTTAAACATAAACAATTTAAAGAAAATATATCTAGAAATAATACCACGCGGACCAGGCAGCAGACGGGACGCGAACCCGCAGCCTTCGCAATCCGGGCGAATGCACTGGCAAAGGGTGCGGATTCGAGTCCCGTCTGCTGCCTGATCCGCGTGGATTTTTTTCTAGTTATATTTTCTTTATATTTAAACATTTACATGCTTAAAAAATAAAAATTATTATAAACAATTTGCTAAACAGATAATCTGCTTTTTATAGACCACCTGAGAGTTAGACGCAAAGAATAGGATTATGTTGGACGTTTTGCAACATGGACATTTTGCTAATTTGACTTACATCTCATTAGACGTTTAGCGCTGATAGACGTTTTGCTATTAAGTACCTTCTGATAGTGTAGCATCGTACCATAGGTACTATTAAAATGTTAGTCACAATATAAATGAAGACAAGATTCTGTAAATAAGTAAATTTGTGGAAGAAAAAGAAGGAGGGATGTACTTTATCAAAATTAGATGTAGCAAATATAAATTGTTAGTGGTCGCCTATTGGTAGAAATTCTATTTCGTTGTTTTCGTTGAGTTCTGCTGTCAAAAAGTATAAGTAGATAATCTAAGACAAAAAATGGTTAACTTCAGTAATTCCTTGTCTGTGTGTTAACGTATGTTAATGTGTTTAGACACATGTTTTATTTATTAATGATTTTCTAATGCATTATTCAATAAAAATATTAGTACACCTTCTCAAGGGACATTTTAATAAATTTCCATATATCCAAAATTTATATAATGAACTCTACTATAAATATATCTTTATAATATAACACACATTTCAGACACCTATTATATGAAAATTAAATGAAAACAAAATATTTATAGTAATCAAATATGCCGATCTAACTATTTATTAAAACAACATTCAAGACAATTATGTTACAAAAAAAAAGGCTGCAAAATACCTACTACAAAAAAGATATGAATTTTTGAAACCTCGCTGGAAGAAATCATTAAAAATACACAAAAAAAAATATAACTCGAAAACTAAAAAATATCGCGGAGCATACATGGGGTATTTTAGGATAGCCCCAGGTGCGAGGCATCTAAAAAAAATTTTGACGTCACTAATTGGACCACCCTGTATAACCACCACTGTATATGTAGTCTTAGATGAAAACAAATATAGTTGATGAAAAGTTTTTCTTGGTATTTAGATTATTTTTTTATTAGTTTTTTTTCTCTACTTTTAAATAGAAAAAGAAGACTTAAAATTTGCTAAAATTTAGAGACTACAGTTACATCAGCAATTTCAGATTTGTTTAAACTCTAACTGTACAGTTCTAAAATAGATTAAAAAAACATGATAACTTTTATTTTGATCTAAACAGTTTAATATTTTTCATTGCTTTTTTAAAAATATATAAGCTTTCCCGCGACTTTTTTGAATTGGAACACCCGCCTGGGATGTAAAGTGATATATATTTTGTGTCTAAGGAATTTAATTTGATTGTTATTATTTATTCATTTGTTTTTCAACATTCCTGTTTAATGACAAGGAAAGAACGGGGAATTAATAGTATTCATAGAAATGGTGCAAACGAAACCAATCAGTTTCATCTGTGTATGGCGCATTCGGTACAACGGGGAAAAGTCGTGTTCCATTTAACAATCTACACCAAATTAATTGTTCAGTATATTATGATGCACTAATGACTATTCATCTGCAGATTAGCATTTCTACTATAATAAATGTGCAAATATTCCTGCCAACCTTGATGTTAATATAGCTATATACTTATAGACTTTGCAATAATCCCAATACTGTCTATAAATTATGCTACTACAAAAACTCATAAGAATGAAAACTAAGTAATGCTCAAATTTATGATTTTATTATAGAAAAATATATTAAAATATAAATGACATATTTTATAGACAGTTGCAGTGAAGATTGATTAATTAATAGTCATTATAGCCAATATAATATGTAATTTTTTTGTAACATATTTTCAAAGGCAAATCTAATTTTAGTTGCATAGCATACAAATGTCATGTTCATGTTTACCATTTCTTATCCTTGTGCCTCGTCAATAACTTAGTCCTGAAATTTAAATTTGTTAGTGATGAGATGACATGATTAAGACATATGACTTGTGTGAATTCAATATGCATCACATATAACATGATCTGTTACAGTAATTTGAGAAGTGGTTTTTTAAATATGTGATGACAATGCTTGTGTTAAAAATAAATATGATGGTTTCTATTATGAATTATTATGCATTTGTAAAAATCTGCAAATACATACATAACTCACATTCAATGATAGATAATAAAATTAAGTAACTCAACAGAAATTTTTATAGTAACTAAAGCACTATCCATGTTATAATTTAAAATGAGATGAAAGTTGCCTTAAAATACAAAATTGAATGTGCTGACAACATTTGAGTTATGAAACAGTATTTTACACATATTAGACAAAGTAAACTATATTCTTGCACATGCAACATTTAATAATTGCTTCAATAAAAATATGAATAGTTTGTCAATTAAATAATATAGTATATCAGAAATTACCTTGCAATGACATGAGGATGACGATTCAAAATTTTCCAATTTGACTTATCAGTAAAATCACCTTCATACATTTTTTTATACTGTTCTCTAGTACAAACTCTTGAAGGTACAAGCAATTTTGAATAAGAAATGTCTTGACCATTCTCTTCCCTTTCCAAGCCAAGTAGATCAAAAGGATCTACACCACTATCAGTGATTGCAGAGAGAGGTCTTGGTCCTGAAGTGTTGCGCCTCCGCACTCCATCTTTCCTTAAGTCAGAACTGGAAGTGTTATGATATGAGAAAAAAAACCATTTGTAAAAGATATCCACTAAATAAGTGGAATTTATCTTACCGTGGGTTACGAACAGTCTTGGAATATGGAATAGTACTAAATACTACACATGGTACTCCCTGTGAAGGAGCAAATGCTAGTCTCTCATCTCTAAATGAAACTCCTTTAGAAGCACGTACTAAGCGTACTTCTTTAGTATGATTTTCAGGAATACAATTGCTACTGGTACGAAATCGACCTAAAATAATAATACAAAGAAACATTTATTGTATCACATAGTAAATATCAGTTAGGTAATTAAATTTTCTCAATCATTTTGCTTTTGTTTAATTACCAAAATTTAAACTTTCAGAACTGCTTTTATCGTCTGTAGTAACTCCTGAAAGAGATACCAAGTGACCCTTCTTAACTCTGCCAGATGAATGTTTATCTTTGAATGAATCAGTGTTTCCAGATGCACATCTGTAACATCAAATGTATGGTAAAACAAGTGTAAAACCTAGAAGTTTTATGCTGTGTTTTTAATGTGATACTGACCTTTCTTTAAGAACATTTATATTGGATTTAACAGGTGAAACTGTATTTGTTATGTCAGAATCTGAACTAAGAGAGTGAGTATCTGCACCTAATCGGTGTACTGGACTTATTTGAGTTTTTTTTTGTCGATTGCGTGAGGTATTCTTTATTAACCCTTCATTATTTGTATCAATAGCTTCAATGTCAGATTTATCACATCCCGACGACTTTGCCACCAATTTCACTACTTCTGTATCTTTAAACGTTCCATCTAATGAAATATTAGAAAGAAAGGTTACAGCAGCTAACCGCCTTCTTGCTTTTTCGTATTTATTACGATTGTTAGACATTACGAAATCTGAACTGAGCTAATTAAAAAAGGGCACCAGGCTCTTAAACAAAACACGGATATCACAATACTATTTATATATTTTGATTTTTGCCCAAAAACGTTATTAATTTACTATAATTTATGATTAAAATTTAGACTTTAATACTTTGCTTTGAGAATTGAGATACGAACATCGACTCGGTGTTGCACGGCAAAAGATGTCAAATGTCAATGTCAGCGTTGTCAACTCCTAGAAGTTCGAGTCGCTAGACTCAACATCAAAAGTCGCTAAAACTAATTCCACCAGAATCGGACGCAGAATTTTGTATGGGAGAGGCAAAAGATACCACCGGCAGGTAGTGTGAAAGGTTGGGATATGTAAAAAAAATTGAAAGTAGGTACATAAGGATTTTTTTATATTTACATAGAAATATTTAAAATTACACAAGCTTAAAACCACCTCATGTATAAAAACTTAAAAACCAAAAGTGACTAAGTACTTAAATAATATACAATTTGAGTCGTATAGTATCAAAGGTGGCAAAGTACGTAGATTTTTAAAAATGAGATACGAGTATGGTAGGTAACACAGGAAATTTAAAAAAAAATCTTAAATATCTCTCATTCAGGATTACAGATGACCTTATTACCCTTAAAAACTTGATTGAAAACACATTTTGTTTTCAAAGGTGGCTATCTTTCTCATCTCACAATCATAACCGGTCATATTTTAATTTCAACCAATCAGAAGAGTTTCTGCTATAGCGTCGCAACATGGCAGAAAGTGCAGTTCAATACATTTTTGTCTTGAGTTTTTAGTGATTTAAAGTTTCTTCTTTAGTGTTTGATACTTATCATGGAACACACTCCAACACATACCACTAATTACACAAGCAAACGAAGAAGGAATAGCGATACATGGAAGAGGAATGTGATAAAAAGCTAAGATAATTTCGTGATATTTACTAGGTTAGGGTTGGCACCTATTTGATTTTACTATGTAATTATTATTACACGGATAAAAGTCACAAAAAACATTATAATAATAACATTTGTTGATTTTTTTTTTATAGATAGGTCCGACAAATGACTTCACCCCACCTGATGTTAAGTGAAGGTGAAGTCCAGACGCGAAGATAGCTGATACAGCAGTTCTACCTGCCACACCAGTCATCCTCACCCTGCCGGCCTGCATGTTGCTTCTTCACGCCTCTTTTAAAGGATCCCAGGTTGTAAGAGGGAGGGAACACGTGAGCAGGCAGAGCATTCCATTTACGGATAGTGCGACAAAGAAATGAGTCACCAAATTTCTTTGTACGCGTTGGAATTGTGGCCACAGTAAAACGGTGACAACGTAGGCCAGCGCGCGTGGTCCTCTGAAGGAAAGGGGAAGGTGGGATAAGAGAGAATAATAATCATCTGACCCGCTACCTAGAGGATCACTCCCTGATTAATGATCGTCAATGTGGATTTAGACCGAAACGATCGACGGGTGATCTTCTAGCGTACTTAACTCTTATCTGGGGTGAGGCTATCGACAAGAGTGGCGAGTCGTTGGCCTTGACATTGCCAAGGCGTTCGACAGGGTCTGGCACAAAAGCCTTCTCTCCAAGCTTCCGGAATACGGTCTGCCAGCCCAGTTCTGTTCTTGGGTAGCTGACTTCCTGCATGAGCGTAGAATTCGTGTCCTTACGGATGGTAGCAGTTCGCGGTTCATGTCAGTGAATGCCGGCGTTCCCCAGGGCTCCGTCCTATCCCCCACTCTCTTTCTGCTGCATATCAATGACTTAATTCCTCTTGGGAATATGCATTGCTATGCAGACGACAGTACAGTGCATGCGGGGTATCTCGGACAAGCAGCGGCTGGGCAGGCAGTAACCAAGGAGAAACGGGAAAATCTTGTCATTGAGCTCAATCAGGCTTTGGACCACATTTCCGAATGGGGTTACCAGGAACTTGGTTGAGTTCCATGCCAAGAAAACTCAGGCTTGCGCTTTCACGGCAAAAAATGGTTGCCTGTAAAGTCGGTTTTACGGGCGAAGATTTTACGTGACAACGTCTTTTTCTCGGTAGAATATTTATTGATATGAATATAATTAAATTGCACAATAGGAACAAGGAATTGAATGAAAATAAGAATTGCACAAATTTTAACTATAGAAATATATATAATACGTCAAAAAAACATATTACAATGCATTGTGCTTGTGAATACCATCGTAGCATGCAACCACGCTACGACGATTCGTAGCAAACTTGCTACACGGCTACGGGGTTCCAGCATGCTACGAGACTCATCGTAACGTTACCGAGCGTTACACTTTTTCATAAGTGACTCCCAGCCGCAACCTAATTTAAGACGTTGTCACGTCAAAACATCGTATGGAAGTTCACTCAGACCTGAATCCAAAGGACTACATCGAAACCGTGATCAAAACAGCTTCACGCAAACTCGGAGTCCTGAACAACGTGCGGCGTTTTTTCACGCCCGATCAACTGTGCTTGTTGTACAAAACGCAAGTGCGGTCCTGCGTGGAATATTGCTCGCACCTCTGGGATGGCTCCGCCAAGTACTTGCTCGATGCTTTGGATAGGTTACAGCGGCACGCGATCCGCATCATATGCGATGAGGAGGTGACGACACCTTGAGCCACTTCAATTACGCCGTGGCGTGGCGTCACTAAGCGCGTTCTATCGTTTGTACCACGGCGAGTGTTCTGAGGAGTTAAGGACCTTTTCTAGAACTTTACATAAAAGTGAGGTGACTGCTATTAGCCGGTAGTTTGCCGGGTCTGAGCGATCCCCTTTTTTGGGCACCGGTTGCACGTTAGCATCTCTCCAAGTCTCCGGCACACGCCCCAAAGAATACGAGCATTGGTACAAGCACGGGAGACAACTCCGCTGCACATTTTTTAAGTACTACTGCTGGGATGCCACCAGGTCCACTAGCTTTCCAGACGTCGAGTGATTGCAATTCGGCACGAACCTCACGCTGCCTGATTTTAATATCAGGCACAATCGTTGTGCCACCTCACTGTGGCACAACGATTGTGCCACAGTGAGGTAATGATGGTGGCAGTGCATTGCAATCATCGATTCGGGAGTTAACCGCAAAGAGTTTTGCCAGTAAATCAGCTTTCTCCTGCGGCTTATGAGCTAGTGTTCCGTCTGGGCATCTCAGAGGTGGCAGCGAGGGCTGGCAGAAGTTTTTTTGCACGTCCTTGGTCAAACGCCAGTAGCTACGGGAGCCCGCAGGATGCGTTATAAGTTCCTGGCCAACACGTGCAACACGCTAGGCATCCGCTCTGATGTAAGCCTTCTTACAGGCCTTGGAAGCAGAATTGTAGGCTGCTTTGAGTGAATCGACCCCGGGATCCTTGAGAGCGCGGCCTCTGATCCAATCACGATATGCCGCTTGCTTACGCGAAGCAGCTTCAGCACAGTCGTGATTGAACCAGAGGTTACGTGTGCCCTTACTGATGAGATCAGAATGAGGAATATAGTATTCCATACCCATTATAATCTCCTGAGTAATGGCAACGGCACTGCCCGATAGGTCCCTGTCACTGAAGCAGCGCTGCTTCCAAGGGACGGACGCAAAGTAATCGCGCATACCGTCCCAATCTGCCGACCCATAATGCCAGATACGGCGCTTGACCACTGCTGGACGCGGAGGCTTGGCCTGTGGTGCTTTGGCAGATATCAGGCAGTGGTCGGACGAGCCCAGGGGGGCTCTTACCACAACCTGATAGCCCTGTGGATGGGTCGTGAGCAGAAGGTCCAGTAAAGAAGGCGCTTGACTTGGAATATCTGGGATCCTGGTGGGCTGATCAACCAGTTGCTTTAAGTCATGCGTGAGAGCGAATGTGTGAACAGAGATCCCTGAATGGTCAGTTTTGGAAGAACTTAACCACAAATTGTAGTGAGCATTAAAGTCCCCCAAAAACACCAATTCTGCATCGGGAAATTGTTCCTGCGCGTCATCTGCTGCCCGACTAAGGTGCTCAAAAAGTCGAGTTGTCTCAACATCGCCGGTGTGGGATCTGTAGAGGTACACGTAGACTCTGGCCAGGGGGCCAGAGTCGACGTGTACCCCCAGCATGGAGAAGGAGGGATCTTCCAAGCAGCGGAGACGGCGACAACAAACATCCGCCCGAACATACAGGCATACACCGGCTTTCGCTTTGAAGGAGTTTTCTAGCATGTAGCCGGGATAATTAAGGTAGCCTGTGTCAGCAGGCGGAAGTATTTGTGTCTCCGTCAGGAACAACAATGCTGGCCGTGCTGTCTCGAGATGGTGGTGGACAGCGTTGAGGTTAGAGTGGAGTCCGCGTATGTTGCAGAACTCGACCTCAAACAGCGTTGAAGGCGTGGGGGTGTGCACCGCTGTACGTTCAAACTTTGCTATTGAGGCTGCCATGGTGGAAGTGAAAAAAAAGAGACGCCAAAAACGTGATTTGTTTTGATAGTTACGGGTCCTGCCAGTGGAATATTGTTTCACGATTGTTATTGTTGTTACATGATTTTTGTTATCCTTTTCTCCTCATAACATTACCGGAAGGTATATACTAATATGTATGTAGAAATATAGTTTTTTATTTAAAATTTTATTAAATAGGAGCGATAGAACGTACAATAGTCCATTCATTACAGTTACTTCAATTTAGTTGATTTTATAATAATATTCCATTGTCGTGATGGCAAACATATAGTATGATATCTGCGGTGTGTGCCCAATTGCAAGTGATCTTCCAAATAGAACGCAAGACTGTGGCTTAATAAAGCCTGGTCTTTCGTTTGTTATTATTAATTGATTTTTTATGTTTTAGTCCATGTCATTAAAACCATAAAAGGAAATTTTATTCAAAGATTGTGTGATTGCATAAACAAAAGTTTTGTTTTTACTTCGAAATAATTAAGTTTTTTTTTTATTTTAAATAATTTGATTTTTGTTTTAGTTTATTATTTGATCTTCATTTCTGTTAATTTTCAATAAAAATATTAATTAAATATAACAAACTTTAATTTTGACAACCCTGTCCATATTCGGCTATCATAACATTTAGTTCGCTTCAAAGGCGGCCATATTTACCAAGCTTCGGTTCAAAATTGGCCATTCTAATAATTTACTATCAAAGGCGGCAATATAGTAATTTTATTTTATTTTTATGGTGCCTATGGTTCATTTTGCGCAATGATTTTATGTTCATTGACATTGGTGTCGATTCTGACGTGATTCTCTAAACTTAAAACTAAATTTAACATTTGTCTCTCCTTTTTATTCTGTATAGAGAATGAGAGGGATGCACTGTTGTCAAATTTTAGTTTAGCTTTAGAGAATCATGTCAGAATCGACATCATTCATCATAACTACAAATCGTAGTGAAATGTCAATTATAAAAATCCTCCCTTAAATACGAGACTAAACAGTTTTTTCTGGACTTCACCTTCACTTAACATCAGGTGGGGTGGAGTCATTTGTCGGACCTATCTATAAAAAAAATATAGAAAACGCGACCATAAAGAAAATAGTCAAGACTTGGCGGTATGTGACTGTAACCGTGGCTTTCTCATACTGGGAAATGTAACAATGAAAGGAGCCAACTGTCACTGTCAATGTCAGGTGTGAAGTGTCAAAAGTTGGAGTAAGCAAAGTGTTTTTTATCTTCCTGTGTTTGCTAAAGCACAATTTATATAAAATTGAATTGAAGTTTGATATTTTTGGGTCGTGTGCATCGTATCAAACTACTAAATTAATAATGGAAGGCGTTGGGGCTCGCGTTATCAGAGGGCCCGATTGGAAGTGGGGCAAACAGGTACATAAGCAGAAACAGCTTCTGTTTATCCTTTAAATTTCCACTTGGTTTTAACTAGTTATTTCAATATTACTAAAACTTTACAGGATGGTGGGGAGGGTCATGTTGGAACAGTCAGAAATTTTGAGTCACCTGAAGAAGTTGTTGTTGTCTGGGACAATGGAACTGCAGCAAACTATAGATGTTCAGGAGCATATGATTTACGAATATTAGATAGTGCACCAACGGGAGTGAAACATGAAGGCACAATGTGTGATACATGCCGCCAGCAGCCAATTTTTGGTGATTAATATAATTGCTCATTTGGATTGGATTTGTTATGAATTGATTATTATGATTGTTCATAAGAAATCTAAGGTTTAGTTACATTTTTCTGAATATGAATTAGGTGCCCTGATTTTACTTAGTAAATTTGATGATTTTTTTTTATTTTTATATCATAATATCCAATTTTTTTAAGTCCTTCATGATATTTTATATGAAATATGATGATGTTGCTTGCACTGATAGCCCACCTGCACTAATATATCTAAAAACTTGAGAGTAATTATTTAGTTTCCTCTCTTTTATGTTTTAGGTATTCGTTGGAAGTGTGCAGAGTGTTGTAATTATGACCTGTGCTCTGTTTGTTACCATGGTGACAAACATCATCTCAGGCATAGATTCTATCGTATCAGTGCACCAGGAGCACAGAGATGCCTTGTAGAGCCACGCAGAAAAAGTAAAAAACAAGCTGTTAGAGGCATCTTTCCTGGAGCTAGAGTTGTTAGAGGGGTAAGGCATTATAATTAAATAAAATCACGCTCTTTATCAGTAAGAAATAAATATTTGGTGCACATGATATATAACTGAATATATATGCTATAAAATAAAATGACCCACTAAAAATTAAAAAATATAACTATAAAGTTTATAATTTTTTTTACTATACTATCTCTTGAACAACTTAGGATAAGAGTAAGCTGGGCCATTTTTGATTTTTAAAAAAAGCTTAAAGATTCCCGTGCCTAAGAAACACCTAAAGTAAATTTTGGTTACTACTAAAATAACAGTCATGATTTGTTCTTAACTAAGAATATTGTACATACTCATTTTCTGAATAAACAGTGAATGAAATGATTACCAAGTAAATGTTTGTCTTGTTATAATTTACTAAGTATGCAATTTTCTATAAAATGCCAAAATGTTTTTTTTATCTTTTTGAGAAAATATTGAAGTTCTTATAATATATTAGTACTTCATATAAATTGTCATAAAATTTTGTATTGACTGAGTTAGGGCATTTTGGTGAAATCAATGACAAACTTAGGAGGTACTGTAACATCCGTTGCGTTACAGCCTCCTTGTTTGAGTAAACTCTTTGTTCATGTAATGCCTATGGCTGACATTACCTTTTTAATATAACTGCCAGCCATAGGCATTACATGAACAAAGAGTTTACTCAAACAAGGAAGCTGTAACGCAACGGATGTTACAGTACCTACTTAAATATTTAAGAATGAGTTTAGAAAACACCTAAATAAATCCTTAAGCAAACAGCTATAAATATTACATTATTATATTATACTAGCTGTGTCCTTCGGTATTACCCGCCCTATATTAAGGAAATTTCCCCGCAGTAAAACATAGCCTATGTGTTAATCCAGAGTGTAAGCTAACTGCATACCAAATTCTATAGAAATCGCTCCAGCCTTATAATAATAGTGTAATTATATAATGTAAATGAAAAATTATTCAAAATTATTTCTCAACATTGTATTTGATTAATTTATAATCTTTATGCGTTAGGTTGACTGGCAATGGGAAGATCAAGATGGTGGCAATGGAAGAAGAGGGAAGGTCAATGAGGTTCAGGACTGGTCAGCTGCCAGTCCTCGTTCTGCTGCTTATGTTGTGTGGGATAATGGGACCAAGAATCTTTATAGGGTTGGTTTTGAAGGCATGGCTGATTTAAAGGTATTAAAAAAAAATATGCACAATGGCACCTTGTGCCACTAGTTGTAACATACCTCAGTGTCATCCTTTCTTTTTGGCAATTATATGTTTCATTTTACATATCTTGTCACGCATATGTTCATCAATTCATCAATTTTAGCATATTATTATTATTTATCTTATTCATTCAACAATATTATATACTATTTATCATTTTGTAATTACATATCAGAATCCCAACTACTAAAATCGCTATTCTAAAATTGGTAGATGCTTGCCAGCATTTATCCATATCCTTATCTAATAATTGCGCTTCTAATTAAATTATATTCTTATATTTCACTCTGCTTTTCATAATTTTATGTTTATTTATGTTTACAAATTTGGCTGACAGACGAGTTTTTTAACGTTGCCATGACTACCCATGACACAGATACTCTTTCCGATTGTCTCTTTGCCTAACCAAACCCCTTAAAATAGGTATTCTGTATACCTATTTTAAGGGGGTATTATTATTTCAATTCGAACCCACTCTAAATTTGAATGGTTCCGGACCTATAAAAGGCTGAGCTGCTCTGATCCTACAAGCATTTCTACAGCAAAAGTTGCCACAGTAACTTTTGTTGGCTCGCTACCGAGCCTCTCCATGTTACTAAAAGGCCTTGTACCTGGGCTGGCTGCACCGGGACAGGGACACAAGCAAAGACCTCAAAGCCGTACGGCACCTTTTGGCTATCTAAATGTTTTTCTCTTCTCTACCAAAACACTATACGCTCTACCTCATCGGCGGTATCGTCGCTCGGTCTCCAGATACATCGTCTGGTACCAGCAGCTATGGCCCCCCTATAAGCAGCGCCTGCTATCCTCCAGTAGCGCCAACCGGGAACTAAGAGAGCCGCCCTACTAGGAGCATTGCCACCTATCAGGAGCGGAGCTCGACTACCTACGGTACGGCCTCCCGATCCTCGATCTCAATACTCCACTAAGAAGATCGCCGACAACCCACGCCCACTACACTGTGTAGTTGTGTAGTTGTGCACACCCCACACTTCACACACCCAAACTCCTCCGTTTCTCCCTTTTTTATTTTAGTTCTAAATATTGATTTCTAAAGATTGTAAAAATATATATATGTATACTATACTGTTCTTCTGCTTTTCCTTTACCCTTCTCCTATTTATCTATTTATGTTTTCGCTGCAGGACATAGTGACGGCCACTTAACGCGATTTCTAGACGTCTGTTAAGCTAGCATGGCAAAGTGAGCAGAATCGTTTAAAATAAAGTGCATCAATTAGTGCAAATTTAGTGACAAAACCGGAAATTTAATGCTCTCATAGTTTAGCGAAAAATTAGAACACTGCCAGCTTTTAATTAAGCTAGCAGTGTATTCCCTGATACGCCTATATTAACGCGGTATAGAACTAAAGCAATGCATAGGGTATTTAGTGCTTAATGAGTGCTGGCAGTATCTGATGAAAATTTTGGAAAATAAAAAATATTTTATTTTTTATCAATAAAAACTGCTAGTATGACAGTCTGAGCAAGTGACCGGTTCGAATACATCACTCTGGATCGAAGATCTATGATAATCAACGGTTAATAATTTAGTGCTCAATGAGGGCTGCCAGTATGTGATAAAAAATTAGGAAATTTTATTTTTTTAAATTTTTTATTAATAAAAACTGCTAGTTTGACAGTCTGAGCAAGTGACCGGGTTTGAATACATCACTCTGGATCGAAGATATATGATAATCAACGGTCAATAATTTAGTGCTCAATGAGTGCTGCCAGTATGTGATAAAAAATTAGGAAATTTTTTTTTTTTAATTTTTATCAATATAAACTGCTAGTATGACAGTCTGAGCAAGTGACTGGGTTGAATACATCACTCTGAATCGAAGATCTATGATAATCAACGGTTAATAATTTAGTGCTCAATAAGTGCTGCCAGTATGTGATAAAAAATTAGGTTTTTTTTTAATTTTTACAATAAAAACTGCTAGTATGATAGTCTGAGCAAGTCACCGGGTTGAATACATCGCTCTGGATCGAAGATCTATGATAATCAACGGTTAATAATTTAGTGCTCAATGAGTGCTGCTAGTATGTGATAAAACATTTGGATTTTTTTATTTTTTATTAATAAAAACTGCTAGTTTGACAGTCTCAGCAAGTGACAGGGTTGAATACATCACTCTGGATCGAAGATCTATGATAATCAACGATTAATAATTTAGTGCTCAATGAGTACTGCCAGTATATGATAAAAAATTGGGATTTTTTTTAAATTTTTTATCAATATAAACTGCTAGTATGACAGTCTGAGCAAGTGACTGGGTTGAATACATCACTCTGGATCGAAGATCTATGATAATCAACGGTTAATAATTTAGTGCTCAATGAGTGCTGCCAGTATGTGATAAAAAATAACGAAATTTTAATTTTTTAATTTTTTTATCAATATAAACTGCTAGTATGACAGTCTGAGCAAGTGACAGGGTTGAATACATCACTCTGGATCGAAGATTTATGATAGTCAACGGTTAATAATTTAGTGCTCAATGAGTGCTCTTAGTATGTGATACAAAATTAGGATTTTTTTTTATTTTTATCAATATAAACTGCTGGTATGACAGTCTGAGCAAGTGACCGGGTTGAATACATCACTCTGGATCGAAGATTTATGATAGTCAACGGTTAATAATTTAGTGCTCAATGAGTGCTGCCAGTATGTGATATAACATTTGGATTTTTTTATTTTTTATTAATAAAAACTGCTAGTTTGACAGTCTGAGCAAGTGACTGGGTTGAATACATCACTCTGGATCGAAGATCTATGATAATCAACGGTTAATAATTTAGTGCTCAATGAGTGCTGCCAGTATGTGATAAAAAATAACGAAATTTTAATTTTTTTATCAATATAAACTGCTAGTATGACAGTCTGAGCAAGTGACAGGGTTGAATACATCACTCTGGATCGAAGATTTATGATAGTCAACGGTTAATAATTTAGTGCTCAATGAGTGCTCTTAGTATATGATAAAAAATTAGGATTTTTTTTTATCAATATAAACTGCTGGTATGACAGTCTGAGCAAGTGACCGGGTTGAATACATCACTCTGGATCGAAGATTTATGATAGTCAACGGTTAATTATTTAGTGCTCAATGAGTGCTGCCAGTATGTGATATAACATTTGGATTTTTTTATTTTTTATTAATAAAAACTGCTAGTATGACAGTCTGAGCAAGTGATCGGGTTGAATACATCACTCTTGATCGAAGATTAATGATAGTCAACGGTTAATAATTTAGTTCTCAATGAGTGCTGCCAGTATGTGATAAAAAATAACGAAATTTTAATTTTTTAAATTTTTTATCAATATAAACTGCTAGTATGACAGTCTGAGCAAGTGACTGGGTTAAATACATCACTCTGGATCGAAGATCTATGATAATCAACGGTTAATAATTTAGTGCTCAATGAGTGCTGCCAGTATGTAATAAAACATTCGGATATTTTTATTTTTTATCAATATAAACTGCTAGTATGACAGTCTGAGCAAGTGACTGGGTTAAATACATCACTCTGGTTCGAAGATCTATGATAATCAACGGTTAATAATTTAGTACTCAATGAGTGCTCTGTATAGAGTGATGTATTCAACCCTGTCACTTGCTCAGACTGTCATACTAGCAGTTTATATTGATAAAAAATTTAAAAAATTAAAATTTCGTTATTTTTTATCACATACTGGCAGCACTCATGGAGAACTAAATTATTAACCGTTGACTATCATTAATCTTCGATCAAGAGTGATGTATTCAACCCGATCACTTGCTCAGACTGTCAAAATAGCAGTTTTTATTAATAAAAAATAAAAAAATCCAAATGTTATATCACATACTGGCAGCACTCATTGAGCACTAAATTATTAACCGTTGACTATCATAAATCTTCGATCCAGAGTGATGTATTCAACCCGGTCACTTGCTCAGACTGTCATACTAGCAGTTTATATTGATAAAAAATTAAAAAAAATAAAATTTCCTAATTTTTTATCACATACTGGCAGCACTCATTGAGCACTAAATTATTAACCGTTGACTATCATAAATCTTCGATCCAGAGTGATGTATTCGAACCGGTCACTTGCTCAGACTGTCATACTAGCAGTTTTTATTGATAAAAAATAAAATATTTTTTATTTTCCAAAATTTTCATCAGATACTGCCAGCACTCATTAAGCACTAAATTCCCTATGCATTGCTTTAGTTCTATACCGCGTTAATATAGGCGTATCAGGGAATACACTGCTAGCTTAATTAAAAGCTGGCAGTGTTCTAATTTTTCGCTAAACTATGAGAGCATTAAATTTCCGGTTTTGGCACTAAATTAGCACTAAATAAGCACTAATTGATGCACTTTATTTTAAACGATTCTGTTCACTTTGCCATGCTAGCTTAACAGACGTGATTTCTAGTGGCTCAGTCAAGCCACTAGCCACAGTAGTCTTAAAAATTATTAAGTATATCATAAAGAAGCTTAATAGAGCTAATTGAAGGAACTTGAAATTGGGAACCAATTAGTTGAGTAATATTAAATAGATTTTTTTACCTTCTAGGTAGTAAATGATGTGAAAGGACAAAATGTATATAAAGAACATCTGCCACTTTTGGGAGAACTTGGACCGGGACGTACTGGACCTCATGGGCTACAAGTTGGTGATCAAGTAAGTCTTAATCAAATAAGTCTTATTTCTTTAATTTGTCATGGATAGAGAAATTAAAAAAAAGAGAAAAGAAATTAAATTAATACAAGACACTAAAAATGTAGTATTTTTAATGTAATTTCTTCCAGGTGAATGTTGATCTGGATTTAGAAATAGTGCAGTCACTACAGCACGGACATGGTGGTTGGACCGATGGAATGTTTGAGTGTTTGGGGTCCACTGGAACTGTAGTGGGCATAGATGAAGACCATGATATAGTAGTTACATATGCTAGCGGCAATAGATGGACTTTTAATCCCGCTGTCTTAACAAAGGTATCATTGTTCAATAATTGTAACTTGTTTTGTGAGCTAATAAATAAACAAAAAAAAAAAAAAAATAAGACGTAAAATATTTTTTTGGAATGTAATTTCAGACATTAATAGAAGCTGTTATTTGGAGAGTTGCAACTATTTTTCCCTTCAGATGTGTGGTTGATGTGGAAATTATAATGTAACCAGAGTTGGTAAGCAAATATGCTTATCTACTTTGGTTTCAGTATATTTTTGTTTAAGTATTTACGACCTTCCTATTTTTTTTTAGGATCAAAACAAAATTATACTAAATATATTCAAAACTTTAAAATTAGCCTCCAATTGCATATAAAACCATGAAAGAAAGACTATTTATCTTCGGCGCTAGTAATCATGCTGGGTGTAACCTTAACTGATCAGCCTTTTTATTGTTTGTCGTCTGCTATTTTTATGTAATCTAATTATATATTTTCAGCTGTTGGTCGTCCTAGATTAAATAAATAAATATCTTAGCCTTGTTGCTGATTACAAATGAGAATCTTTTCCATTACCTACCTATGTATTTAGTTTACAAATAATGTTATAATGCTAATTGTCTGCATTATTTAAAGAAGTGATTTCACTATGCTTTACAGCTATTTAGTACCTACTGTTTTTTATAGGTTTGCAGTGGTAACATCAGTACATCGACGTCGGCAAGCGGGGCTCCAAGCGGCGGATTTGCAGTCGGCGACCTTGTGCAAGTTTGTGCCGATAAAGAACGCGTGAAGACGTTACAGATCGGGCACGGCGAGTGGGCTGAAGCAATGGCTCCAGTGAGTTCTTTGAACTGTTTTTGATACTAGCGGCCGCCCGCGACTTCGTACGCGTGGAGTTAGTTATTTGCACATACTTTTTGACCCCAAAAGGGTTCACTGCTCGCTTCCCGTAGGTGATAGCGTGATAATATGTAGCCTATATGTTGACCCGACTTCTTAATAATATTCAAATATAAAAAAATTGAAGTAAATCCATGCAGTACTTTTTGAGTTTATCCCGGACATACATATAGACAAACAGACAAAAATTCAAAAAACTATATTTTTGGCTTCGGTATCGATTGTAGATCACATCCCAAGTATTCTTTTCAAAAAATATTAAATGTACAGTTTTGATTTCTTATCATTTAATTATATATATAGATGATTATGATGTAGGTATTTATATTACAGAGGAACTCGATGGCGTAAGTGCTTGCGCGTTCAGCAGTGATCGTTAGGTTTTAACTTTCGCAGTGGTCGGTCATTGGATGGGTGACCAAAAATTTACTATCTCGAGTTCCTTCGTGCTTCAGAAGGCACGTTAAGCCGTTGGGCCCGGTTGTATCTGCAGTTGTTAACACCCACCAATCCGCACTTTGCCCACGTGGTGGGTCATTGCCCAATTTCCTTATTCTATTCATAGGAAAGGCCTGTGTCCTAGCAGTAGGGACATTAATAGGCTGATGATCATTTATATTATACCAGTGGGTGCCTGCGACTTCGTATGCGTGGAAAAATTGGTTTTACATACAAACTTGCACTCCCTTTTGCAACCCCTTTAAAGGATAGTTATTGGGATAAAAATGTCCTTCCTTGGGACTCAAACTATCTCTATACCAAACTTCGTCTTAAGTGGTTCAGGGGTTTAAGCGTGAAGACGCAGACAGACACACTTTCGCATTTATTATGTGTGTTTATTAGTATGGATGATTCTTGCTTGGTCATGGGAATAATATACCTTAATCAGCAATCAATAGTTCTGCAGCCAGATAATGCCAGAACTGTTCTAGTAATAGGGAACCTGCGAAAATAGGTAAAACAATGGTTAGGTATGGGTTCAGAGTCTGAACTTCAGACGGAGGGATGGAAGGGCAGAATTAATGATAAGCTATTCACACGGATATAAACTATTGATAACGAATCAACGATATTAAATACCCTAGATAAACCAAGTGCGCTCAAAATGTGTCCCAATCAAGAAGTGCTTGAACACCACTAGTGTTGCCCAAATGCAAGAACAAGACGAGACTTAGGCAGTCTTGGTCTTGCGCCAATACACCTGTTCTTGGTCTTGCGCTCCAAGTCTTGGTCTTGGTCTTGGTCTTGCAGCAAGAGCCTTGCAAGTCTTGCAATTACCTATTAGCTATTGCTATTTATTAAAGTTTACTTTAGATCTTATTTATTCTTTGGAACACCTGTACTCTAAAATTCGAAAATCGAAGTTCGTGTCGTACCGTCTCGCTCGCTCATATATTAAATAGTATTAGCGTGAGTGGGACGGTACGACACGAAATTAGAATTTTGCATGAGTATACCTAGGTCCTGTGGCGGCAATCAAATAGTGTCAAATGTTGTGATTTCGGCGCGGCGGCAACGATTGTTGTATGTGATTTCAATAGAAGCCACTGGCGCGTGTATCATCACCATGTACTTCCGAAAAGCGGCAAATTTCTTTGAGAAGTCAGTACAAAACCTTTGATGCCGCATTATCAAAGTGCCAATGGTTAAAACAAAACTATGCATGCACTCTGTTTGATTTTAATGGATATTTTTTTATTCGCTATGTATGTTTATGGTATTGGTCGTAATGCGCATAGGCCCAGTTTTTCATATTCTTTGATACAGTTTTTTGCGTCTTATAGAATTCCTAAGTGTACCTATACACCGACCTGTTATACCTAACTACTCCGTGAAATAGCGCTAAGTTCTAGCTGCAAGACGCGAGAGTCTTGCCGGATTAGTCTTGTTCTTGCTCAAGTCTTGCACGGTCAGTCTTGGTCTTGGTCTTGCTAAAAATACGCGGTCTTGTTCTTGGTCTTGGTCTTGCAAAAATGCAAGAACAAGACCAAGACTGCAAGACCAAGACTGAATTTGGGCAACACTAAACACCACTCAAGTACTTTTTGGTTCACAGTCTCGCGCAGACCGTTGAGAAGTCAAAGCTCCATGAAAAAATGCGAAATACATAATGTTAGAGTGTAACGGAAATCCCCAACAAGCGAGTGCGCACGAGACAGACGATCGCACTTTTTTCGCCCCGCCACTTGGTCGCAGTTTGCGCGGCACCGCTTTTTAGCGCAGTTCATGTTCCATATCATTTCAAATTCGTTGCCTGCATGTGATATTTTTTTTTGTTCAATTCTAGACTCTTGGACAAATTGGACGAGTGCAGCAAATATACCACGATAAAGATTTAAAAGTGGAAGTTTGCAATACGTCGTGGACATATAATCCTAACGCCGTTACCAAAGTGGCATCTTCTGATGGAAGCATTCTGGGAAACTCGTCAGGTAATCAAACCACAGTTGCTTTGAATAATAGAAATATAGCATTTACTGAGCGACACTTGGATAAAATTCACTACTATCTAGGAAGATTGGACAAGCGGCTAATTCAAGTAAGTTTAATTTAGACAGACTATGGACTACCTGATCACTTCGTCTGTTTCAAACTTACTTATGTTTTACTTTGCGGTTGGTTAGGGTACGCGCAGTTCATCCTCTATTTCTATGATTTAAATCATGGTCATAGATTGCACTTGACTTGTTAAGCGTGAATTAGGGTAAGGCGCCTTCCTGTGCCCTAATAATAGCCCTGGCTCAGTTTCTTGGCGGTTCTTCCCAGTACAAGGTCTCCCGCCGTAGATTTACGAACCGACGGCGTAGCATTTGACTTTCACGGCTGTAACAGCCTAGAATGAATAAATGAGTTTGAGTTTGTGTTGCTGCAGTGTATAGCTGCTGCTGATCTACGACTTCCCTCTTCCCCGGATCAGAATTTCTCATTTACAGTTTTTTGAAATATGAGTTACATATTCTTTCTTATTTCATTGCGGTTTTACTGTTCTTTTTTCCTTTTTACTACATACATCTGAGTTAATTTTATGGTAAAACTATTTGTAACACAAAAAAGTATCTACAGGTAAATAAATAAATATTTCTATTATTCACACCAATAAGCCTAGCCCCAAAGTAAGAACTGATAGCTTTTGGTATGGGATAAAAGGGGTAATGGATAGAATATATATCGGCAGTGGAAAAGCAAAATTGCTAATACATCACTTCGGTGCTGCTTAAAAATCGACTTAATTTCACTATTATTTAATGTTAGTTTTTAAGCAGCACCAGACTGGCTTATTAGCGATTTTGCTTTTCCACTGTCGATATACTGATACATATATAAGTATATTCATATAGAAATACATATTAAACAACCATAACTGGAGTACATGCTCGTATTCATCACACAAACATATGCGACCACCTTGTTCATTTTATTTAATAAAAGAAAAATTAGTTTGAAGATAGCACTTTATCTTTAATGAATGTAAACACACAGACAAGACGTAATAGCAATGACATATAAAAACAATAGACATTAAAAACTAAAATTCAAAAACGTGATAAAAGAAATGTGCCAGGATTACGGTTTACAACACGCCCTCTTAATCCTTGCTAGGCATTTTTTGCAGTAAGAATTTTATTAACAAATCCCTCATGCTTCACACGGTTTAAACTTTTGGTCATGATATCTGCCACCATTAAATCAGTGGGAAGATATCTGATCTCTATCTTACCATTATCTATTGCTTCCCGTATGTAATGAAATTTTACATCAATGTGTTTAGTGCGCCTGTGGTGCACAGGATTGGTAGCTAATTTGCTGGCTGACTGGTTGTCGCAATATAATATGATAGGTCTACTATACTGTACCAATTCCTTCATAAGAGCACTACAGTACACTGCCTCTTTGCACGTTTCACTAAGTGCAACATACTCCGCCTCAGTGGACGACAGTGCGACGCAAGGTTGTTTATAGCTGCCCCAATTTACTACATTACCTCCTAATGTTATTAAATAGCCCGTATAGGACTTTCTGTCCGCATTGTTTGCCCAGTCGGCATCACTATAGGCTTCTAAATAAACTTGTGTGGTACACCTTTTA